AGTATCTGAGTCCAGATTTGAACTCAGGTCCTAACTGGCCCTCAGTTATACAAATTCCAAATCATTGTTCTTTATCAATAAGGATTCTATTACATTGTAAATTCCTGTAGGGCCTACCACAATGCTCTGCACAAACCATGTGGTATTGAATGAATGAATGGATATGGCAGATGGGAAAAGTTATTATGGAAGTAAACACAGAACCCTAATGAAGGGAAGTTGAGATGATACTAACTATTCTGCTTTTTGGCACGGGTAGGGGAAAAGAGAGAGAGGGAGGAGAAGGAAAGAGAGAGAACACCCCAAGATACCTGGCTAAGTCCCTCATCTGGTGCATGAAGTCCTCTCCATCCCATGCTACGATTTCCTCTTCATGATATCTAGCCTGATGGAGAGTCTTAGGAAGTTCCTTACCAGCTGTGATTCTTTTTATTTTAAAACTATTTAGATTTGCATTGTTATCTGTTGTTGTTATTTTTCAGTTGTATCCAACTCTGTGACTCTGTTTGGGGTTTTCTTGGCAAAGATTCTAGAGTGATTTGCTATTTCCTTCTCCAGTTCATTTTGCAGATGAGGAAACAGGCAAATAGGGTTAAGTGACTTGCCCAGGGTCATACAACTAGTAAGTATCTGAGGCCAGATTTGAACTCAGGTCTTCCTGACTCCAGGTGTTCTATGCACTATGATGCCGCCTAGCTGCCCCTTCATTGGGCATAAAAAGGAGACTGTAAAAATTTGACTCTATGAATGAAAAGTTTCAAAAAGTTGAAGGAAACAATTTATCCTGTTCAGCTTTTCTTAGGATCAATTTCAGCTCATTTCAAATCCGTTCCTTAGCCTAAGCCTATGAAGATTTAAAGTAATGTTCATGTATATTCTTAGATTTGTGGATAATCTTGAGAATAAATAGCTACTAATAGAAATAACAACTCTTCCCACTTGGGGTCTTCACTAGTCAGCTTTTAAGAACAACGTCTCCTCCTCGCCCCAAGTTGTCATTGCGTCTCTTTGGTGAGACCCATCTTCTCTCTCCCTGCCCTTCAATGATGCTGTCTTAGTGATTCAGTGATTTTGAAAGTATAAACAGACTAGTTCTGAATAATTTCTATGGCTAGAGGGACAAGATTTGTCTGGGGTGAGAGTCAGTGTGTGTGTGTGTGTGTGTGTGTGTGTGTGTGTGTGTGTGTGTGTGTAAGTAGATTATCCCTATCTGGAAAATGCAATGATGCCTTGTTTTTCTGGTATAAACTCTTTTTGGGGACTCCTGGCTCCTCGCAATGGTGAGTTACCATGTTGTTCTTCCCACCTAATTGCCTGGATTCCATCTAGAAAATAGGGCAGTAGGGATACAAAGGAAGGGAAGACAAGGGGGAAGGGCATGCCCATAGGCAGCCCACCCAGCTGCCTTGATGAGGCAGACTGATGTTTATAATGAGGATTCTGAGCTGTTAGTGTGGTGTAGGAGAAAGAGTTTTGGGGTAAGAGTCAAGAGAGCAGAGCTGGTACTGAGTCTTGACTTAGATCCTTACTACCTGTGTGACCAGGAGCAAATCACTTACTCTTGCAGTCTCAGCTTCTCATCTGACCTGCTATTACATTCTAAGGCCATTTGCCTACTGATATGGGCATAAGGAAGGGAATAAGTATCTGTATAGTGTCTATTCTATGCTAGGCACTGTGCTAAGCACTTTTCACAAATATCATCTAATTTGATCCTTGAAACAACCCTGCAAAGTGGGTGTTGCTATTGTCTTCAACTTACAGTTGAGCAAACTGAGGCAAATAGAGTCAAGTGACTTGCCTGGGCCCACACAGCTAGTGTTTGAGGGGAGATTTGAACTCGGGTCTTCTGTCTGCTGTGCCAGTGATATGTCCTCCACAACCTTAGGCACTACTGTCTGACCTGCTGGTCTACCCTAAAGACCCCTGAGCCTTGCCATCTTCCTTCTTCTTAAGGGGTCCTGGGCCTTGCCATCTATACTATACCTGCGCTCTTCTATATATGTTGTTTCTTCCTTTAGAATATGAGCTCCTTCAGAGCAGGGACTGTCTCATGTTAAAAATTCACATTCCCCGTGTTTAGGACAGTGCTTGGCACATAGTAAGGATTTTATAAATGTTTATTCATTCAATCATTCCTCAGTCCTGTAATTCAATGATTTCCTCAAGACCTATTGAATTATGTAGGAATATTTACCCTCCAACTAGATAATCTAAGATGGCTGTGCCTTTTGAGTTAGTTTTTGCTTTTTTATGCTTTTTCCTTTACTCCTAGCTATCATTTCTCACAGTTTTCAAAGTTCCAGCCTCCAGCAGCACCCTCCTGAACTCTCCTTTGAAAATCCTATAGAATGAGAAACTATTAGATTTGTACTTAAAATAAGAGTCAGAAGAGGCTCTGAGTGAGGTTTTCTCAAAGTACAATATATGGACTTATTATAGAATTTTGAGCTGCACGAGACCTTAGAAATCGTCTAGTCTACTCTCTTATTTTGCAGATGAGGAAACTGAGGCTTGGGTTGGAGGGAGGGATGAAAGGAATTGCCCAAAGTCACATGGGTAAGCAATTGGGAGGATTAGGATTTGAAGCTGAGTCATTTTATTCCTAATCCAGAGTCTTTTGTCATACACTGCGTTCCTTGTATTTTGCAGTATGCATTTGGGTATCTTAGGGACTTCTTTGCTTCCCCCATGTTTTTCAGTCATGCTTTGAGAGGCTGAAAGGTGAGCACTGGATAAGTAGGGCATTACTGTTCTATTTCTTTGTGCTTTTAATTCATTCTAAGGACTTATCACTGTCCTTCCTCTTTCTCTCTGTTCCTTTCAGCGCCTGGAATGCTCAAGCATCACAGTTTTTTGGATACTGGGGGAAATCAGGCTAGATTAGAGGGAAGGAGAAAGATGATGACCACTTTTTTTCTTTTTTGGTGAGGCAATCAGGGTTAAGTGACTTGCCCAGGGTCAGACAGCTAGTACATGTCAAGTGTCTAAGGCTGGGTTTGAACTCAGGTCCTCCTGACTCCAAGGCCAGAGCTCTATCTCTCGTGCCACCTAGCTGCCCCGACAACTCATATTCTTACAGCATTTGAGAGTTTCCAAAGAACTTTCTTCAATAAAACCCTTTGAGGTAGATAGTATGTTGTTGTTGTTATTATTATTATTATTTATTATTCCCCTTTTACAGAAATGGACCTGAGTTTCCCAGAGGTTAAGTATGCTATGGCATAGTAATGATAATAGCTAGCATTTGTACAGTACTTTAAGGTTTGTACAATATTTTACAAATGTTATCTCATTTAATCCTCATAATAACCATGTGAGGCAGGTGCTACCATCGTTCCTACTTTAATGAAGTCACACTTTACAGATGTGGAAACAGACTGAGAGAGGTTAAGTGACTTACCCAGGGTCATGTGGTTAATAAGTATCTGAGGCAGGATTTGAATTCAGATCTTCCTAATTCTAAGTCCATCACACTCTCCACTGTCCCACTTGCTTGCCCTGTCTGTAAGAAAAGGGCCAGGAGTACTAATGGTTGGAATGAGCTTAGGTTGGCAAGAAAATCCAAGGATAAAAACCAAGGGTTAAAAAAAAAAGCTATATTGGGGAAAAGAAGAAGATCCAAGAGAAAACAACTCTTGTTGCTTAGGATGGAGGGGATGATGGTAATTGAGGAGAGAGGTGATCAGCTCTAATTTTCCTTCCGTCTTCTCTGCCAAGTGCAAAGAACTTTGACCTGGAAAGACTAGCACCAAAATGGCTCGTGAGAGTTCCTACCCAAGATAAGTAAAGCAATGACAAGGAAGCACTTACCTGCCTTTGATCAGTCAAGCAACTAAGCAACATTTATTAAATACCTGCTATGTAACAAACACAAGCCACCTGCCCCGGATGAGCTGCATCCTTGGGTACCAACAGAACTGGAAGATGTAGTTGTTGAGAAAATGTCAATGGTCTTTGGAAGATCTTAGGGAAGAGGAGAGGTCTTGAGTAATGGCCCTGATTTTCAACAAAGGGAAGAAATTAGAATCTGCAGACAACAGGCCAGGGAGCTTGACTTCTCTTCCTGGGAAAATTCTAGAGTATATTGTTAAAGGCACAGTTGGGGAACATTAATCAAGAAATGGAAGCGGCAATCGCAAAGAATGAGCATGGCTTCATCAAGAAAACTTCGTGCCAGACCAACTTTGTTTCCTTTTTCGATAGTGTTACTAACTCAGGAGATCAGATGTAGAATTAATAAAAGTGTTTGACAAAGTCTTTCATGCTAGGTTCATGCTAGGCTTGAGGAAAAGATGGATCAGTGTGGACTAGAAGATGGCATAATTTGATGAACATGGAATTTGCTGAATGACTTTGGCCAAAAAGTAGCTCAGTGTTGGCTTGGAAGGGGAGCTGCAGTGACTTACCTTTGGTCTGGTGGTTTTTGGTGTTTTTTGATGAGGCAATCGGGGTTAAGTGACTTCCCAGGGTCACACAGCCAGTAAGTTTCAGGTGCCTGAATCCAGATTTGAACTCAGGTCCTCCTGACTCCAAGGCCAGAGCTCTATCTATTGGGCCAACTAGCTGCCCCTCTGTCTAGTGTTTTTGTCATGACTGGGATGAAGGCATTTATGAAGGCATTCATAGCACACTCACCAAGTTTTCAGATGTCTAAAAGTTGTGAGGGGTGGCTAAGACATTAGATGATGGCGTCAGGATTCAAAAAGACCTCAGCAGGCTAGAATGTGGGGCTGACTTTGCTAAGATAACATTTAATCAGGACAGATGTAAGGTCTTATCCTAGGATACAAAAAGCCAATTTCACAACTGCAAGGTAGAGGAGGTGTGGCTAAAAATAGCCATTGATCTGAAAAAGATCTAGAGGGCTTAGTGGACTGGAGAGCCCAGTGTGAAGCAGCAGGGTAATATAGTGACAAAAAAGAGAATATAGTTTAGATTCAATATGGGGAGCATATGATCAATACTAAATTGATATTAACCTTAATGGATATTTTCAGGTATGTGTGTAGCCTGGTATACTATGGCCTTACTTTGAATGCTGGTGAGCTCAAAGGAAATCTGTACCTGAATATAGCTTTGTATGGTCTGGTGGAAGTCCCAGCATGCCCTCTGTGCATATACTTCATTGAGAAGCCCTGGTATGTATTATTTTGCATGGCTGATTTTCTCTCATAGCTTTATAAAAATGATTGTCTGAAATCTGAGCTTCTCTAAACTCAGAGCATTTTTCTATTCCAAAGTAACCCATTCCCAGTTCACAAGAAATGATAAATCAGTTCATCTCAAAAAACATAGATTAGGTACCTACTACGTGCAGGGAAGTGTGCCAGGCACCGGAATACCAAGACAAAGTGAGACACTCTGCCCTATAGGAGCTCCCATTCTAAGAGGGGGGAAATTGCCACATCCACAGGTAAGAAAGCCAAGGATTTTGAGAAGGCTGAGAGTTCAGTAACAGAGGAATCAGGGAAGTCTTCATGTAAGACATGTCAACAGAGAGTAAATTATCTTAATTTTGACCAAACAAGGGAATATTATGAACTTGTTTGTGCATATATGGGACTGCAAGACTTTCAAAGAGTTAGCCCACTTAGAAGGTGAGTCATTTGCAAACCTTTTTATATGCTAAACTTAGAACTGACAAGTTCTTAATGGCAGTAAGTGCTTAAATGAAGCTGGGATGTGATTGGCAATATTCTCTCACTAGATTTACGTAAAGCCTCCAGGAACCCAGATTTGGAGGCTGAAGGGACCTTAGACACCATCTAATCTAATCTCTACATTTTAGAGATGACACACAGATTGAGTGACTTGTCCCAGGTCTCATAGGTAATGAGTGACAAAGAACACAGATTTAAACTCAGGGCCTCCACTCCAAATTCAGTACTCTTTCAAGTGATTTTGCCAAGGTCCAGCTGTCAGAGCGCAGAATCTAATATAGGCTTTCTAATTCTTACTTCCTGCATAGCTGTTAACATCATCTAGGCATTTTTTAGCTGTGGGACCTTTGACTCTCAGGCTCAGTTTCCTCATCTGTAAAACATCATAGTAATTGTAGTACTCACAGTGTGGTTGTGAGGCTTGAATGGGATGGGCTTTGTAGATCTTTGAATTCTTTATTAAGTATCAGTCAGTCAATAAGCATTTATTTATTTATTTATTTTTGTTTTCTTTTGTTTGGCTAGGCAATGGGGGTAAGTGACTTGCCCAGGGTCTGAGGCCGGATTTGAACTCAGGTCCTGCTGAATCCAGGGCTGGTCCTCTATCCACTGCACCACCTAGCTGCCCCCCCCCATAAATGTTTATTAAGCACCTCCTGTGTTCTAAGGGTTTTTTTGATACTTTAATTAATTTTGAATTATTAACAATCACTTCCATAAGTTTTTGAGTTTAAAATTTTTCTCCCCCTCCTTCCCTACCTCCCTCCTCAAGATGGTGCACAATCTGTTATAGGCTATACGTATACATTCCTATTAAACATATTTTCACATTAGTGATGTTGTAAGGAAGAATTAGAACTAATAGGAGGAACCACCAGAAAGAGGAAACAAAACACAACAGAAGAAAAATATAGCAAATAGTATATGCTTCAATCTGAATTCAAACTCCATGGCTCTTTCTTTGGATGTGGATAGCATTTTCCATCATGAGACCTTTGGAGATGTCTTAGATCCTTGTATTGCTGAGAAGGGTTAAGTCTATCAATATTAGTCATCTCACAACATGTTACAATGTTCTCCTGGTTCTGCTCCCTTCACTCAGCACCAGACCATACAAGTCTTTCTAGGTTTTTTCTGAAGTCTGCCTGTTCATCATTTCTTATAGCACAATAGTATTCCATTACATTCATATACCACAACTTGTTCAGCCATTCCCCAATTGATTTCCAATTCTTTGTCACCACAAAAGGAGTTGTTATAAATATTTTTGTACATGTGAGTCCTTTTCCTATTTGTATGATCTCTTTGGGATACAGCCCCAGAAGTGCTATTGCTGGGTCAAAGGGTATGTACATTTTTATAGTCCTTTGGGCATAGTTCCAAATTGCTCTCCAAAATGGTTAGATCATTTCACAACTCCACATGTGTTCTAGGTTCTGTGCTAGGAACTAGGGATACAAAGAAAAAAAAATGAAAGCCTATCCTCACAGTTGGGCCCTGAGACTTCCCCATTCTTCGTGGGGAAACAATGTATACACAGATAAATACATACAAATAGATAGAGGACAATGGGGAGGTGAGGGGACTGGAAAGCACTGGTAGCTGGAGGACTTCTTAGAGGCATCAGGTAGAACAGGAATTCTGAGGTGAGGAGGGGGTGCATTCCAGGCATGGGGACTGAAAGGGCAAAGGCATTGAGGTGGGAGATGGAGTATAGTGTGTGAGGAAGAATGAAAAGTTGAATTCCTCCAAACTGTAGAGTTTATGAAGGGGAGCACTGTATAAAGTAAGATTTAATAATAATTATGGGCATTAGAGATAAAGCATTTGCCAGGTTCTTTGCTCATTATCAGTTAGTTTTACCTTTCTATTATCAAATAGGAAAAAAGAGTATAAATGCTTTTCACACTATATTTTTTCTTTCATACAAGAGAAACTCTTGGCAGAATACCCTTTCCTGACTCTTCTGGAATGTGTCAGGCTCATGGAGTATTTGTTAATTCTGGGAATTAGTGAAATTAAGCTTCTTGGAAATTGACCACACCTTCCATTGACAGCATTTAAGCTGTCCAGGGTGAAATGAGGGGTAAGAAACATTGTTTCCAGACCAAAGTCTCAATGAGATCTGATTGGGATTTGGTGAAAGCATTCTGGTCTTTGAAAAGATTGTCTCCTTTATCATGAATTTGGGCTGTCCCTTTCTTCTTCTAGCCCAACTCCTTTCCTTTACAAACAAAGGAAGGAGGAGTTATGTGATTTAAGGGCAAACAGGACAGAAGTGGAAAGGCTAAGGGTAAAACCAAGTTCCTCCAACCCCCAAACTTGGGGTCTTTGTACTGAAACTGTTCTACATGCTGTGCACCGCACCCGCCTTTCCCCCAGCCCTTTACAGGTCCTAGAAGATTCTAGATTCCAGACTCTTTCCACTACTCCCCATTGTCTTTTAAAACTTCTCATAGGATTAAGAACTAGAAGGGATCCCAAAGATAATTTAATTCAATTTCATGATTTGATGAAGAGGAAATTGAAATCTAGAAATGGGCAGTGTCAAGACTGTTACAGATGAAGAAACTGAGGTCCAGAAATGGGAAACAAGTTAAGGATGTTACAGATGAGGAGAAGGAGGGCTTAGAATAGTTAATTGATTTGGCCAAAGTCACACAGGTGATAAGGACTAGAGGCCACTTTGCACTCTGATCCTCCTGCTCTGAATCTAGCTCACCAAGGCACCACACCTTCTTTTTGACCCTGGATAACAACATTTTAAGCTTGGTAGGAGATGCTTTCATTTGCCTGAGAAGCAGATATCACATTTTATCAAGAGACTTGAGGGGTTGAAGCCCTGGCCAATTTGCTGTGGGCATCTACTCCAATTCTTTTGGGGTGAGATTGTAATCCTCTGACAGTCTATAAGTTATTTGCATCTTGCCCAGGTGGTACGCAGTAGGAGCCTTAGCTTGATGGATGGCTTTCCTTGGCTCAGCCAAATACTCCAGGCTCGGCCAAGAATTCACTGGTGTTATTTATTCGGGGAAATGAAGGCAAGCCGCCATGTGAAGTGTGCCATCTGCCACGTCTGACCTTGTGTGCTTTTTCTCCTAGGGCAGGGAGACGGAAAACCACCTCTGCTTTTCTCATTTTTTCAAGATTTGCCTGCATCTTGACCATGTTCTTAAATGAATGTTCAGGTAAGTACAACTTACTGAATGTATCAAAACCTGTGGTTATGAGAGGAATCCAATTATCTACCCATAAATTCTCAGGACGCTGAAAAAAATCCTCTAGGAACATGGAGGGAGAGGAGCAGGAAAACATCAATGGTGTTCATTGACTTGAGAATTTCAAAATTCATAACAAGTTTTTTATAGTCCTTTGAAACAGACTAATTTTAGAGTGGAGCCAGTCACCAAGCATTTATTAAGTGCTTACTACATGCACAGGTCAATCTTTTCATCCTTTTTTCTTAAACAGAGCTTTGATTTCATTGGTGTAGCAAAATCCTGGCAAAGAAACTCAACTCATGAAGATTAACACCCCTTCAACAACAGATTGTCTTAGAGGCTGACTGGGGAGCTGAGAAATTAAGGGGCTTGTTGCTCAGGGTGACACGACAGTATGAGGCTGAGGTAGCATTTGAACCCAGGTCTTCCATATCCTGATGCCAGCTTTCTGACCATTAAGCTATGCTGTTTCTTACCTCTTGATTATTCATGTTAACAGAGGAGAATTGTTAATAAGAATAAGCAAACAGGAGATAATCCAAATAATTTAACATTTGCTACTGTGGAGTACATCCCTAGAACTTAAACTTCTTGAGATTAAAGATTGTTTTTTGTCTTCCTATCCCAGCACCAGCTAACATGGTGCCTGGGTATGTAGTAGACACTTAATAAATGATTGTTTATAGAATGATCTCCACATTGATATTTGAATAGAAAGTCATGGCATTTCTTATTAAATTATGGAATCTCACTGCTTGACTGGAGAGAATCTATAAAGTGATTTTTCTTTTTAATCTTGGCCTTGCCTTACTGCTATTCTAGTTCTTTGTTATACCTTCTTCTGTGTGAGGACTAACTGTTAGATGGATGCCTGAAATTATTCCTTCCTCTTCTCTTTCCTAATAAATTTCTCTCCATCTCTCTTCCTCCCTTTCTCAATCCCTCCTTTTCTCCTCTTTTCTCTCCCCCATCTCAATTCATTTTAGAGCAATAAGTATTTGTTGAGTGTCTGCCTTGTGTCCAGCTCGGGGCCAAACCCTGTCGGGATAGAAGAAGGCAGCATGGTGTCAGGGAGGACGCAGCAGACCCCAGGTCATACCCTTGCCTGGGCAGGGACATAGCTTAAATTCTCTGTTTGCCTAGGGGGGAAACAGAATTCTCCTCACTGTTGGCAAGCTATGGCTTCCAGCGAGAAAGCTTCCTCCTGTGGCCACCTCCCTCTTTTTCTCTCTTGTTTTTTCTCAGTGTTAATGACGCGACGGCTGTTGTGCGCTCATCCAATCAGAGTCCGCTCTGGGCCTACGTTATCAGTTGCTGGGCCTACTAGCTATTTTTATGTATGTCTCATCTCCTCCAGCTAGGATCATAGGACCACGGAGTTGGAAGGCGGGATCTCAAACGAAATCTCCACCAACCCCCTTCATTTTTCAGAGGAGGAAACAGGCACACAGGAGTGGAGTGACTTGTTTAGAATCAGGCATCAGAAGGAGAATTAGAAACAGGTCCTCTGATTCCAGGCTCTACCCTCTTTCCCAGCTGTACTCAGCTCTTGGAAAAGAGGCTTTCTCTCTTTTTTTTTGTCAAGTTGATTTGAAATCTTTAATGTCACATCAGGAAGCTCTCTCTCTCTCTCTCTCTCTCTCTCTCTCTCTCTCTCTCTCTCTCTCTCTTTCTGGATGTGAAAACAATTAAAACAATTTTTTTTAACATATGTTTTTAAAATTTTGGGTTACAAATTTTCACACTTCCTCCCTCCCCACCCACACTCATTGAAAAGGCAAGCAACTCGATACAGGTTACACATATGTAAAACATTGTCATGCAAAACATTTCCATAGTAGTCATGTTGTGAAAAACTGTATTTCCCTTCATCCTATCCCATTTCCCTTCATCCTATCCAACTCCCCATTTATTCTATTCTCTTTTTTGACCCTGTCCCTCCTCAGAAGTGTTTGCTTCTGATTATCCCTTCCCCCAATCTTCCCTCCCCTCTATCATCCCCCTGCTCTCTTGTCCTCTTTCTCCCTTATTTTCCTGTAAGGTAAGATAGATTTCCATACCCAATAATGTATGTTATTCCCTCCTTGAACCAAATCCTGTGAAAGTAAGATTCACTCATTCCCTCTCACCTTCCCCCATTTCCCCTCCACTGTAAAAGCCTTTTCTTGTCTGTTTCATGTGAGATAATTTACCCCATACCACCTCTGTCTTTCTCCTTCTCCCAGTATAATCCTCTTTCACCCCTTAATTTTATTTTCCAGATATCACCACTTCATCTTCAACTCACCCTGTGCCATCTATATCTATCTGTCTATCTATCTATCTATCTATCTATCTATCTATCTATCTATCTATCTATCTATCTATCTTTCTATCTATCTATCCATATAATTCTTTTCCCTCCCATACCCCAATAGTGACAAAGGACTCATGAGTTACAAATATCATCTTTCCATGCAGGAATGTAAACAGTTCAACCTTAATAAGTCTCTTATGATTTCTCTTTCCTGTTTACCTCCTCATGTTTCACTTGAGTCTTGTATTTGAAAGTCAAATTTTCTATTCAGCTCTGTTTTTTTCATCAAGAATGTTTGAAAGTTCCCTATTTCACTGAATGACCATTTTTTTCCCCTGAAGGATTATACTCAGTTTTGCTGGGTAGGTGATTCTTGGTTGTAATCCTATCTCCTTTGCCCTCTAGAATATTATATTCCATGCCCTCTGATCCCTTAATGTAGAAGCTGCTAAATCTTGTATTATCCTGATTGTATTTCCACAATACTTGAATTGTTTCTTTCTGGCTGCTTGCAATATTTTCTCCTTCACCTGGTAACTCTGGACTTTGGCTACAATATTCCTAGGAGTTTTCCTTTGGGGAGCTCTTTCAGGAGGTGATCTGTGGATTCTTTTCATTTCTATTTTGCCCTCTGGTTCTAGAATATCAGGGCAGTTTTCCTTGATAATTTCTTGAAAGATGATGTCTAGGCTTTTTTTTTTTGATCATGGCTTTCAAATAGTCCAATAATTTTTAAATTCTCTCTCCTGGATCTATTTTCCAGGTCAGTTGTTTTTCCAATGAGATATTTCACATCATTTTCTAGTTTTTCATTCTTTTGGATTTGTTTTACAGTGTCTTGATTTCTCATAAAGTCACTAGCTTCCAATTTCTCTAGTCTAATTTTTAAGGAAGTATTTTCTTCAGTAACCTTTGGGACTTCCTTTTTCATTTGGCCAATTTTGTTTTTTAGGGCATTCTTCTCCTCATTGGGTTTCTGGACCTCCTTTGCCATTTGGGTTAGACTATTTTTTAAGGTGTTAATTTTCTTCAGTATTTTTTTGGGTCTCCTTTAGCAAGCTGTTGACTTGTTTTTCATGATTTTCTTGCCTCACTCTCAGTTTTTTCTCTACTCCTCTTACTTGCTTCTCAGAATTCTTTTTGAGCTCTTCCATGGCCTGGGACCAATTTTCTTGGAGACTTTGGATATAGGAGCTTTGACTTTGTTGTCTTCTTCTGATTGTATGTTTTGCTCTTCTTTGTTACCAAAGAAAGATTCTAGGGTCTGACTCTTTTTGCGCTGCTTGCTCATGATCCCAGTCAGTTACTTGAGTTATAAACTCTTTGTTAAGGTAGGAGTCTGCTTCCAGTGTGGAGAATGTACTGTCCCAAGCTTTGGGGGTTTTGTGCAGCTGTTTTCAGAGATACTTCTAGGGACCTGTAAATTCTCAGTTCTTCCAAGGTGGTATGATAAGGGGTGAGGTGTTTACTCCTTTCCTGGCCTATGCTCTGGTCTATGAGTGACCACAAGCACTCTTTTCTGTCTTGGAACTGTGATGATTTCCTCTCTCCACTGTCACTACAAGCTCTACCATGCCAGTGCTTCTCCTCACCCAAGACCACCACACAGTACCGTGACCCAGTTCCAAGCAGGGGCAAAGCAAGAGAATCCTGCACCAGCAGAGAGATCCCTGCAATCCCCCTTTGATCAGCCACTCAATTCCCCCTCAGTCTGTGGGAACTGACTTCCACTGTTAAGGCCTTTCAAAGATCAGAGACAGCCAAGAAGTGGCTAACTGAGTATCTGTCCACAGGCAAAGACCTACTAGGAGCTGATAAATGACATTAATGCAGCACGCGATCTCATCGGATCCTCACAGTAACCTTGTGAGGTGAGTACTGTTGGTGTCTTCATTTTCCAGATGAGAAAATGGAGGCTGTGGAAGGTTAAATGAAAGATTGTGTACATTTAATACTAGACCTATTTTGTTCATTTGCCCTGCTGTGATGAGGATGGAGCAGCTAGGTGGCTCCATAGTGCATAGAGTGCTGGGCCTGGAGTCGGGAAGGCCTGAGTTCAAATCTGACTCCAGACACTTATTAGCTGTATAATCCTGGGCAAGGCAACTCTGTTTGCCTCAGTTTCCTCATCTACAAAATGAGCTGGAGAAGGAAATGGCAAACCACTCCAGTATCTTTGACAAGTAAACCCCAAATGGGATCACAGAGAATTGGAGATGACTGAAAAATAACCAAATAATGAGGGTAACAGGATGATGGTGGAAGAATGATGAATTTATAGTCAAAGGCCCTGGGTTTGCTTCCTACTTTGCTACTGACTACCTTTGTGTTCTTGGATAAGTTATCTCCCCTCTTTGGGCTTCAGGAACTTCACTTGTAGAATGGGTCCAGAGTAGATGATCTCTAAGGTACATTATAGCTCAGATTTGTAGTATAAGCTCTTAGAGGGCAGGGATTGTTCTGGCTTTTTTTATTTTCAATCTTGGTAGCCCCCATACCTAACACAATTACCTGGCACTCAGTCTGTGCCTGAAATTGCTTGTTAACTTGAATCAAAGCCCCATAGAGAAACTGAGGTTTCAGTTGTTCCCAGCAGAGAACAAGAGCTCAGACAAAGTTGTCAAGCTATATGGAAAGCCACTTTGCTTCTAAGTTGATTTCATGGTGAGGA